GTTTCTAGGTCTGGTATCTTATTTTTGTTATTTAATTTTCATGATTACAATTTGTTTCAGATTGGAACCCCTGCATGCTTTTAATTTCTGTACCACTCAGATAAAATAGGAGATGATTATGGAGGTCATCCTGTGAGGCTGATGACATGGAATGTCAGGGGATTAAATGGTCCTGTTAAAAGAACTAAAGTTTTCTCCCATCTTAAATCTTTCAAACCAGATATATTGTTTTTACAAGAAACACATTTAAGACTGGAAGATCACAATATAATTCGTAAGATATGGGTTAGTCAAATTTTTCATTCCACATTTAACAGTAGATGAAGAAGTGTGGCAATTTTAATTAATAAGAGAGTACAATTTATACCTTCTGACACAATCTGTGACCCTAATGGTCGTTACATTATTGTCTCTGGATCTCTCTTTCAAGTCCCGGTGGTTTTAGTTAACGTTTACGCTCCCAATTGGGATGATGTTCAGTTTGCAAATAGTCTCCTATCATTAATTCCCAAGCTTAATACACATCATTTGTTATTCGCTGGTGATTTGAATTGTGTTTTTGATCCTCAGCTTGACAGGTCCAGCACTAGTAGTAATGTTTCTGATATGGCGAAGGCTTTTTCTCTATTTATGCAACAGAACGGCTGTGTGGATCCTTGGAGATTCTTAAACCCATTGACTAGACAATTCTCCTTTTATTCCCATGTCCATCACTCCTTTTCCAGACTAGACTATTTTTTTATAGACAACTTGTTTATATCAATGGTCAAGAAAGTTGATTACTCGGCTATAGTTATATCCGATCATGCACCTGTGGTGCTGGACATGCACTTTCCTTTAAACATCAGGGAACGACCACTCTGGACATTTAATCCATTACTACTATCTTAACGATAAATTCTGTAACTTTGTCTCAACTAGTATAGATGAGTTCCTGGAATCTAATAAAATGGATACAGTGTCTTACTCATTACTCTGGGAGACTCTGAAAGCTTACTTGAGGGGTCAAATATTATCTTACACATCACATGCTAATAAAGAACGTAAGAAGGAACTGCAAGCACTCTCACAATCCATATTAGATTTAGACAGACAATATTCTGAATCGCCAACAGCCGAATTACGTAAAAAAAGAGTGGACTTGCAGACAAAGTAAAAAATTTTATCCACTACTCATGCAGAACAATTAATAATGAGGACACGTGGTCTTTACTATGAGTATGGAGACAAATCAAGTCGGCTCTTGGCTCACCAGTTGAAACGTCAAGCCGCCTCCCGTCTTATTTCCCAGATAAAGGACTCTAATCAAACATTAACTTGTAACCTAAAAGAAATTAACAAGATTTTTAAAACCTTTTACTCTTCATTATATACTTCCGAATTCCCTTCAGATTCAACGGATATGGAAAATTTCTTAGATAATTTAGATATTCCTACTTTACAATCAGATAAGGTGGTAGATTTAGAACATGACCTCGAGATTGAAGAAATTTGTAGGGCCATTATGGCAATGAAGAGTGGGAAGTCTCCGGGCCTTGATGGGTATCCTATTGATTTTTATAAGAAATTTAAGGAGAAACTTGCGCCAATTCTTCTTCATGTTTTTGGGGAATCGTTGAAGGCAGCCAATTCTTCTTAATGTTTTTGGGCATCCATTTCACTCCTTCTTAAAAAAGATAAAGATCCTACCCAGTGTGAATCATATCGCCCCATATCTCTTTTAAATACTGACATTAAAATATTAGCTAAAGTGTTAGCATTTTGATTAGAATGTGTCCTTCCCTCAATAATTTCAGATGATCAAACAGGATTCATTAAAGGTCGCCAATCTTTTTCTAATATTCGTAGACTTGCTAACATAATGTATCTTTCTGATCCTTCTCCGCACCCGGAGGTAGTTATCTCATTGGATGCGGAGAAGGCGTTTGATCGAATTGAATGGCCCTATTTGTTTGCAGTTTTAAAAAAGTTCGGTTTTGGTAATATTTTTGTGTCTTGGGTTAAATTAATATATAATTCCCCTTCAGCTTCCATTCAGACTAATTATTCTCGATCAGACTTTTTCCCATTAACACGTGGGACTCGTCAGGGATGCCCACTGTCCCCACTCCTTTTTGCCATTGTGATTGAGCCTCTTTCAATAGCTTTGAAAACAACAACAGCGTTCCGGGGAATTAAGCGAGGGGGTTTTGAACATTGTGTGTCTTTATACGCCGATGACCTTTTGCTTTACATCAGAGACCCTATATCTAGTTGTCCTTTAATTATATCCTTATTAGGTCGGTTTGGTACCTTTTCAGGATACAAATTAAATTTCCAAAAAAGTGAATGTTTCCCCATTAATAATTTGGCCTTACAAATTCAACAATCATTACCCTTTCGTTTTTCTCTGGATGGGTTTAAATATCTTGGAATTCATATGACTCGCTCCTTTTCTTCTTTGTTTGAAGCCAATTATAAAGCTCAGTTAAAAGAAGTAAAGGCAGAGTTGGAAAGATGGCATAGTCTTCCCCTTACTTTAGCCGGAAGAATACATTCAGTGAAAATGACAATTCTTCCCAAGTTCCTTTATTTGTTTCAGTCCCTACCAGTTTTTTTGCCCAAATCCTTTTTCCGTTCAATCAATCAATCTATATCCTCTTTCATTTGGGAAAATAAAATCCCCAGGGTTAACAAACATATTCTTCAGAGGACCCGCGATGCTGGTGGTTTAGGCCTCCCAAGTTTTACCCATTATTACTGGGCATCAAATATTCAGAAGATATTATTTTAGCTTCATTGCCCAGAAACAAATTGGTGTTTAATTGAAGCACAAACGTGTCACATTTTATATGTATATGTATCTTTTTCTTTATTCTTTTTGTGATGATGTATTTGATGTTTTGATCTCGGTGTAATTTGTCTCACAGAATGGCTAAAAAAAATGTTCTCTTATATATTCATACTGTAATAATATTATTGTAATAATAATACTATTATTATCATCACTATGTAGTGGTATGCAATGGGTCTATGCCTTGAAAAGATGTAATAATATTGTTTCATTTTGCCAGACACTACGCTATTTTGTTGCAACTAAGCTGTCCAGGGAAGGGATGGGGGGGGGGGGGTTGTTATAGTAAAAGTAGAAGGAAGGAAAATGTAACTTTCATTGTTTTAATGTATGTTGCTTTACTCCTTCAATAAAAAACAATAAATAAATAAAAAAAAACATAAATGAATAGGTAGAAATTTCCCTGATGAAAGTTACGACTGGAGCTGAACGCCTGTGCTTGATTTGCAAAAACAAACATCACTGGTTCTTGCATGTCAAGCACGAGCATTTGAGCTTCTGTTACCATATTTGATGTGCATAGGATGGAAGAAAAAATGCAGAAATGTAATGAGAACTTTTTAAGTGGAAATAGAATACTCCAGTGTTTTCCACTTCAAGCAGGTTCCGTGGCTCACCTGACTTCCTGTTGAGGTGCGTCTGCGGGATGACGATCTGGCAGGAGTTGGCGTCGTGGGTGTTTTTGATGGGGTGGTTGAGCAAGCAGATGACGCGAATGACGCGACCGACTTTCTTCACGCGCTCCGGCACGTAGCTCGGGTCGCAGATCAGCTGCTTACAGCGGAAGACCTTCGTCGAGACATAAACGCGGTCAGATCATCATCATCGGGGTCGTGTAATGATGACCCAGATAGCACAAGTACATCTGTAAGACGTCTGTTAAAGATCCAAAGATCCTGGAAAGTGTCTGCTGTGTACAAACATCTGACAGATGTCTGTAAGATGTCAGTTTTACATACATTCTAAATCATAAACATCTTAGAGACATCTAATAGACATCTGATAGGAGAAAGAGACGTATGTCAGATGAGCAAACACTCTAAAAATACATCTTGCAGATGTAATGCAGACGTCAAATAGACGTCTCCGTGATGTACGTGTGCTAGTTTTACATACATTCTAAATCATAAACATCTTAAAGACATCTTAGAGACATCTATTTAACATCTGATAGGAGACATCCAATAGACGTATGTCAGATGAGCAAACACTCTAAAAATACATCTTGCAGATGTAATGCAGACGTCTCCGTGATGTACCTGTGCTATCAGGGGAAGGTGTGTTTGTGCTCACCTCGCCCTCAGATCGCACCGCCACCACTCGCCCATCCTCCATCAGGATTTCGTCCACGCGGCGGTTTAGCATGTAGCTGTTCCCGTAGACGGCGCTGAGCCTGCGGAGCGACACGCCTGTGTCACGCTTGACCTGTGAGACCCACATCACTCATGTGAAGAGAGGAGTGAACGTTACCTGACGAAGCCCTGCGGCAGCTCGCCCAGACCGAACAGCGGGTAGAGGAACGGGCTGAGACTGTAGCGTGCCAGAGACTCGGAGTACAGCTTGATCCGGTTTATGGTCATCAGACATGGCTGCTCCAGATAGCTGACCGACACACACACACACACACACACACACACACACCCCGTTACTGACCAGATACTGACTGACAAGGGTGTAGGTGTTATTGTGGCATTGGTGGGGACGTAACAGCAGACAACACATTTTTAATTGTTTGATCAAAATTATTGCTGGTAATTTAGTAGTGTGTGGATATTGGTAGGATCATGTCAGAGCGTCTCTACTAAACTCTACGCCCTTGAGAATCATAACAAGCGATGTCCAACTTTGGAAACTATAGTCCTCTCCTTAAATATGAAGAGCTCAAACAACAGATTCATGAGTTCTTATGGACGTGATTATAATACAAGTCGGACATTGACGTGAGTTGATGTTTTTGTCTCTTCTGAGCAAGATTCATTCACTTGTTTGTCACTGAACCACACAGAGACATTCTCATTCATTCACTTGTTTGTAAGTAGAGTTAGTGACTTTCCTTTCTGTTTTAAAGATGTTTTCTTTGGATTGTTTGACTACTCTATAAAGAATATAGGAAAATATAACTAGCCAAATTTCACATACATGAACATGGTAACCACAAATTAACCATGGTTTTGCAACACTAACCATAGTTTAACCATGGTACTTCATGGGTACTACATACTATATATTAACTATGGTTAATTTTCATAAGGGATTTGTATTTGTGTATACTTTAACTGTACTGATGGCTTAATGTTTTCTACTGTTTAATAAAATTTAAAAAAACAACAAAGAAAAAAAGAACCGCGCTCCAAAGTGCCGATCTGAATCAAATGAATCGCGATGCGCGAACCGACTGGAGCACTTTGAAACAGTGAATCACTTTGAGTCGATGCTTTAACTGATTCCGAGTTTCGAACAGCTGTGTTTCACCCATCACCACGTGTTTTTAAAATCATTACAAGCGATGTCGAAATTCGAAAATGATTGGCTCTTTTGATCTGCTTTTGCTAGTGAATAATGAACTGAATGATCGAATTCACGAGATTGACTCAATCGGAGCGGATCCAGCGTAAATGACTCGCTCAATTGAATCGGTTCGTCTGTTCCTCCGCTTTTCGCGTCTTCACTCATGTTTACACGACACTGTCAGCACTACTGCTGGCTCAGCTCGCTAGTTTTGTGACATTAAGTACTGAAATAAGCGAAAACAGTATGATATTTACAAATAAAATACCAATATTTCCATTCCACAGATAACATCCAACACAAATCTAGAACGTATAACTAGAACAGCTAACTAGTGAACCACTCCATTAATATGACGAGCTGCAGCTCTAAACACATGTTAGATGGAAACACTGCGATTATGATCGAGTTTGCAGCTTAATTCACTGTATTTGTTTTGAGCTGCAGTTCAATTGAAATCAGTGGAAAGCCTCCAGTCTCTCACACCACTGAAGTGAATGTTCAGTTGATCAGTATTGTAGCAAATATTAGAGAAACTATTATTGTTTGTGATTGTATGAGTCTATATAGACTGAGTGATAGTCAAAGTAAAAAGAGCTGATGAACACAAAACAGCAGAACAACAAAGTTAAAGAGGCTAAACGTTATCATTCAGCTGAACTCGTGTGTTTCAAACACTTCAGCTCATATGTTCTTACTCCACACGTGAATTAAATGTTTTCTAGCGTATTTCTTTAACTTCTCAATGGTATGATGTATTTTAGATGCGTTACAGTGGTTACATACACATATATTTATTTGTTTGATCATTTGATTATTGCTAGAGACAATTTTAGTAGTCGATAGATATCGGTAGGGACACGTCATAGCGTCTCTACTAAATTCTACACAGTTGATATTTTATATATTTATTTTACAGCTCTGTATTTTCCAGAATGAGGAACCGTTTTTCTTTTAAATCCAGTCAAATGTTGTGTGCGCTTGTAAGGTGTTGCTCACTCGTCGTTGACGTGAAGGGCCAGAGCGTGACCTGTGACCTCCACCACATCGTCTCCCAGGTCGAAGTGGCGAAACACGTCCCTCATGGTGGTTCTGTGCGGGTCCATGTCGTGATGCGTCCGCGGATCCTTCTCCTCGAAGTTCAGGACGAAGGACATGAACTTACGGAACCGCCGCTTGTCGAACATCCCCATCAGTCAGCTCGCTAGTTTTGTGACATTAAGTACTGAAATAAGCGAAAACAGTATGATATTTACAAATAAAATACCAATATTTCCATTCCACAGATAACATCCAACACAAATCTAGAACGTATAACTAGAACAGCTAACTAGTGAACCACTCCATTAATATGACGAGCTGCAGCTCTAAACACATGTTAGATGGAAACACTGCGATTATGATCGAGTTTGCAGCTTAATTCACTGTATTTGTTTTGAGCTGCAGTTCAATTGAAATCAGTGGAAAGCCTCCAGTCTCTCACACCACTGAAGTGAATGTTCAGTTGATCAGTATTGTAGCAAATATTAGAGAAACTATTATTGTTTGTGATTGTATGAGTCTATATAGACTGAGTGATAGTCAAAGTAAAAAGAGCTGATGAACACAAAACAGCAGAACAACAAAGTTAAAGAGGCTAAACGTTATCATTCAGCTGAACTCGTGTGTTTCAAACACTTCAGCTCATATGTTCTTACTCCACACGTGAATTAAATGTTTTCTAGCGTATTTCTTTAACTTCTCAATGGTATGATGTATTTTAGATGCGTTACAGTGGTTACATACACATATATTTATTTGTTTGATCATTTGATTATTGCTAGGGACAATTTTAGTAGTCGATAGATATCGGTAGGGACACGTCATAGCGTCTCTACTAAATTCTACACAGTTGATATTTTATATATTTATTTTACATCTCTGTATTTTCCAGAATGAGGAACCGTTTTTTTTAAAAATCCAGTCAAATGTTGTGCGCTTGTAAGGTGTTGCTCACTCGTCGTTGACGTGAAGGGCCAGAGCGTGACCTGTGACCTCCACCACATCGTCTCCCAGGTCGAAGTGGCGAAACACGTCCCTCATGGTGGTTCTGTGCGGGTCCATGTCGTGATGCGTCCGCGGATCCTTCTCCTCGAAGTTCAGGACGAAGGACATGAACTTACGGAACCGCCGCTTGTCGAACATCCCCATCAGATCTGGAGAAAAACACTAATACCAATAAAACTAAAACCACACAAAAAACCTCAGATACTAGAAATAAGACACACGGTAACTGAAATAAAATATAAAAAATTTAAACTTTTTTTCTCTTCTTGTTGGTAAGGCAACATTTTTCATTTAAGTTTTTTAAATTGTTTTACTGTTATTTATATAGCGGTGACCTCCACCACATCGTCTCCCAGGTCGAAGTGGCGAAACACGTCCCTCATGGTGGTTCTGTGCGGGTCCATGTCGTGATGCGTCCGCGGATCCTTCTCCTCGAAGTTCAGGACGAAGGACATGAACTTACGGAACCGCCGCTTGTCGAACATCCCCATCAGATCTGGAGAAAAACACTAATACCAATAAAACTAAAACCACACAAAAAACCTCAGATACTAGAAATAAGACACACGGTAACTGAAATAAAATATAAAAAATGTAAACTTTTTTTCTCTTCTTGTTGGTAAGGCAACATTTTTAAAGTTTTTAAAATTGTTTTACTGTTATTTATATAGCGCTTTTTACAATGCAGAATGTGTCAAAGCAGTATTAAAGAGGGAAATAGTGTGCTGAAATAGCATGCTGTTCTCCTCTGGCCAGACGAAACAGTTTAATTCTAGGCTGCAACAAAGTCAGATTGTGCAGAGGACTCATCTGGTTCCCGTGGGTTAGTTGAAGTATTAAAATAAAAACTAAAAAAAGAAATAGACATTTAAAGAAAACTAATAAAACTGACAAAAACACAAACAAACTTCATCTACTTAAAATGAAAAAGGAAAATATAAAAAAAATAAACTCAAATTTGGAGTATTAATGAAACCCGTAATCACAGTGTTACCTGAATTGTGTGTCTCTGTCTCAGTGCAGGGGACTCTGTGAAGTTTCCCTCCTTTATACACGAAACTGCCTTCAATCACCTTGAAGTCCAGATATCGCGTGACCTCAGTGTACAGCAGCATCTTCACCAGAGGACCTGAAGGAGACACAGTCATCTAGGGCGCTATGAGTTACGCGATGTGGAAAACGCGGGCGGAATCGCGGACTCCAGTCATTAAAACAGAATGTACTGTATAACGTGGAATGCCACGGAATTTGCCAAATTTTGGATGAATTAATCAGAAGCAGGTCAGTACACTTAAATCGAGTCGCAATATGAACGAGTGACTGTGAATATTTAAATATGAATCCTGCATGTTCTGCGTGTCTCTGTGTGAATGAATGGAAACACATGAATATGAGCTCTAGAGCTCTCGCTTCATGAGCATTTCAGTTTCTTATGCAAAAAAAAATATCACCATAAAAGTCTTCACAGCAACCCGTCAAAATAAAGGTTCGTTTTAACTTGAAGAAACGGTGACAGAAATATGACTTTATGTAATGGTAATACTACTACTGCTACTAATAAAATTATTATTAAAACATAATTTTAAAAGGAATATTTACCAGAAAAATTATTTACCAGAGTACATTTAGCAGAAAAATGTAATGTAAAATAATACATTTTTAAAAATAAAATCAGTTAATTAGAGATGCCTTTGATTATTGCTTTTAATGAAACCATTAAAATGGAATTGAGAAAATGAATGGAAAACAGAATTTGGTAAAAATAAAACTGAATTTGAAATAAAACATTTTTTAAATTATAATTTTTGTTAAAATTTTAATAAATTGCTATTTAATATGGTCGGTTTCATGCTATTTATTATAGTCAGTTTCATGATTTCAATTAGACATGCTTTTTGATTAATAAAATTTAATTTAACCATAAAAACAAAAGTCTAGAAAAATTTAAACGGAAAAAAATGTTTGGTAAAAAAATAAAATTAAATGGATTTCATAGGGCCCTACATCTTCACTGCCGTACAAACACACACACTCTCTCTCTCTCACACACACACACACACACTCACTCACACAGACACACTCACACGCTCACTCGCGCACACACACACACAGAGAGAGACATAGACACAGACACTCACTCACACAGACACACTCACACGCTCACTCGCGCACACACACACACAGAGAGAGACATAGACACAGACACTCACTCACACAGACACACTCACACGCTCACTCGCGCACACACACACACAGAGAGAGACATAGACACAGACACTCACTCACACAGACACACTCACACGCTCACTCGCGCACACACACACACAGAGAGAGACATAGACACAGACACTCACTCACACAGACACACTCACACGCTCACTCGCGCACACACACACACAGAGAGAGACATAGACACAGACACTCACTCACACAGACACACTCACACGCTCACTCGCGCACACACACACACAGAGAGAGACATAGACACAGACACTCACTCACACAGACACACTCACACGCTCACTCGCGCACACACACACACAGAGAGAGACATAGACACAGACACTCACTCACACAGACACACTCACACGCTCACTCGCGCACACACACACACAGAGAGAGACATAGACACAGACACTCACTCACACAGACACACTCACACGCTCACTCGCGCACACACACACACAGAGAGAGACATAGACACAGACACTCACTCACACAGACACACTCACACGCTCACTCGCGCACACACACACACAGAGAGAGACATAGACACAGACACTCACTCACACAGACACACTCACACGCTCACTCGCGCACACACACACACAGAGAGAGACATAGACACAGACACTCACTCACACAGACACACTCACACGCTCACTCGCGCACACACACACACAGAGAGAGACATAGACACAGACACTCACTCACACAGACACACTCACACGCTCACTCGCGCACACACACACACAGAGAGAGACATAGACACAGACACTCACTCACACAGACACACTCACACGCTCACTCGCGCACACACACACACAGAGAGAGACATAGACACAGACACTCACTCACACAGACACACTCACACGCTCACTCGCGCACACACACACACAGAGAGAGACATAGACACAGACACTCACTCACACAGACACACTCACACGCTCACTCGCGCACACACACACACAGAGAGAGACATAGACACAGACACTCACTCACACAGACACACTCACACGCTCACTCGCGCACACACACACACAGAGAGAGACATAGACACAGACACTCACTCACACAGACACACTCACACGCTCACTCGCGCACACACACACACAGAGAGAGACATAGACACAGACACTCACTCACACAGACACACTCACACGCTCACTCGCGCACACACACACACAGAGAGAGACATAGACACAGACACTCACTCACACAGACACACTCACACGCTCACTCGCGCACACACACACACAGAGAGAGACATAGACACAGACACTCACTCACACAGACACACTCACACGCTCACTCGCGCACACACACACACAGAGAGAGACATAGACACAGACACTCACTCACACAGACACACTCACACGCTCACTCGCGCACACACACACACAGAGAGAGACATAGACACAGACACTCACTCACACAGACACACTCACACGCTCACTCGCGCACACACACACACAGAGAGAGACATAGACACAGACACTCACTCACACAGACACACTCACACGCTCACTCGCGCACACACACACACAGAGAGAGACATAGACACAGACACTCACTCACACAGACACACTCACACGCTCACTCGCGCACACACACACACAGAGAGAGACATAGACACAGACACTCACTCACACAGACACACTCACACGCTCACTCGCGCACACACACACACAGAGAGAGACATAGACACAGACACTCACTCACACAGACACACTCACACGCTCACTCGCGCACACACACACACAGAGAGAGACATAGACACAGACACTCACTCACACAGACACACTCACACGCTCACTCGCGCACACACACACACAGAGAGAGACATAGACACAGACACTCACTCACACAGACACACTCACACGCTCACTCGCGCACACACACACACAGAGAGAGACATAGACACAGACACTCACTCACACAGACACACTCACACGCTCACTCGCGCACACACACACACAGAGAGAGACATAGACACAGACACTCACTCACACAGACACACTCACACGCTCACTCGCGCACACACACACACAGAGAGAGACATAGACACAGACACTCACTCACACAGACACACTCACACGCTCACTCGCGCACACACACACACAGAGAGAGACATAGACACAGACACTCACTCACACAGACACACTCACACGCTCACTCGCGCACACACACACACAGAGAGAGACATAGACACAGACACTCACTCACACAGACACACTCACACGCTCACTCGCGCACACACACACACAGAGAGAGACATAGACACAGACACTCACTCACACAGACACACTCACACGCTCACTCGCGCACACACACACACAGAGAGAGACATAGACACAGACACTCACTCACACAGACACACTCACACGCTCACTCGCGCACACACACACACAGAGAGAGACATAGACACAGACACTCACTCACACAGACACACTCACACGCTCACTCGCGCACACACACACACAGAGAGAGACATAGACACAGACACTCACTCACACAGACACACTCACACGCTCACTCGCGCACACACACACACAGAGAGAGACATAGACACAGACACTCACTCACACAGACACACTCACACGCTCACTCGCGCACACACACACACAGAGAGAGACATAGACACAGACACTCACTCACACAGACACACTCACACGCTCACTCGCGCACACACACACACAGAGAGAGACATAGACACAGACACTCACTCACACAGACACACTCACACGCTCACTCGCGCACACACACACACAGAGAGAGACATAGACACAGACACTCACTCACACAGACACACTCACACGCTCACTCGCGCACACACACACACAGAGAGAGACATAGACACAGACACTCACTCACACAGACACACTCACACGCTCACTCGCGCACACACACACACAGAGAGAGACATAGACACAGACACTCACTCACACAGACACACTCACACGCTCACTCGCGCACACACACACACAGAGAGAGACATAGACACAGACACTCACTCACACAGACACACTCACACGCTCACTCGCGCACACACACACACAGAGAGAGACATAGACACAGACACTCACTCACACAGACACACTCACACGCTCACTCGCGCACACACACACACAGAGAGAGACATAGACACAGACACTCACTCACACAGACACACTCACACGCTCACTCGCGCACACACACACACAGAGAGAGACATAGACACAGACACTCACTCACACAGACACACTCACACGCTCACTCGCGCACACACACACACAGAGAGAGACATAGACACAGACACTCACTCACACAGACACACTCACACGCTCACTCGCGCACACACACACACAGAGAGAGACATAGACACAGACACTCACTCACACAGACACACTCACACGCTCACTCGCGCACACACACACACAGAGAGAGACATAGACACAGACACTCACTCACACAGACACACTCACACGCTCACTCGCGCACACACACACACAGAGAGAGACATAGACACAGACACTCACTCACACAGACACACTCACACGCTCACTCGCGCACACACACACACAGAGAGAGACATAGACACAGACACTCACTCACACAGACACACTCACACGCTCACTCGCGCACACACACACACAGAGAGAGACATAGACACAGACACTCACTCACACAGACACACTCACACGCTCACTCGCGCACACACACACACAGAGAGAGACATAGACACAGACACTCACTCACACAGACACACTCACACGCTCACTCGCGCACACACACACACAGAGAGAGACATAGACACAGACACTCACTCACACAGACACACTCACACGCTCACTCGCGCACACACACACACAGAGAGAGACATAGACACAGACACTCACTCACACAGACACACTCACACGCTCACTCGCGCACACACACACACAGAGAGAGACATAGACACAGACACTCACTCACACAGACACACTCACACGCTCACTCGCGCACACACACACACAGAGAGAGACATAGACACAGACACTCACTCACACAGACACACTCACACGCTCACTCGCGCACACACACACACAGAGAGAGACATAGACACAGACACTCACTCACACAGACACACTCACACGCTCACTCGCGCACACACACACACAGAGAGAGACATAGACACAGACACTCACTCACACAGACACACTCACACGCTCACTCGCGCACACACACACACAGAGAGAGACATAGACACAGACACTCACTCACACAGACACACTCACACGCTCACTCGCGCACACACACACACAGAGAGAGACATAGACACAGACACTCACTCACACAGACACACTCACACGCTCACTCGCGCACACACACACACAGAGAGAGACATAGACACACACACTCGCACACACATACACACACACACACACACGCTCACTCGCGCACACACACACACAGAGAGAGACATAGACACAGACACTCACTCACACACACACACACAAACAAACAAACTCACTCACTCACTCACACACACACACACACACACAGAGAGACATAGACACACACACTCACGCTCACTCGCACACAGACACACACAGAGAGAGAGACATAGACACACACACTCACTCACACACACACTCACCCACCGTTTGCAAGCAGGAACTTGGGAATCAGATCCACGTTCCAGTCTTTCCCGCATCCCATTGATGTTGAAGGAGCAGAAACCTGGAACCTCTTATAAAGCTGTTCAGAAGAACAAACAAATGTTAATGTGTGTGTGAGAGGTGTGTGTGTGTGAGTGTGTGTTTTCATTTACCTCCTCCAGAGGGGAAATTGAGGCACTTTCTCCTCCATAATACGGGCTGGAGTCCATATGAAGGACCTTCTTCCCGTTGACTGACATCAGTCCAGATAAAACACATTCCTGCAGCACACAGATCACTGATCATCACACACAGCTCTAGCGTTCGATCTGATGTTGAGCTGAGATTATCTGGTGTCCAGACTCTGGGCCTCAGCGCACCTGGGGCCAGTTGCATAAACATAGTCACTATGTTGAGACGGTGTCTTAAGTAGTTTCACCAGCTAGCAATAGACAAGGGGTTATCGGTCTTACTTTTCATATCCAAATTGAACCAATATATCTTTTTGCAACTGAATTTAAATTCATGACCGGTCTTGAAGGAAAAAAAATTAGATGACTAACTTTTTAAGACTAGCACACACACACTCTCTCTCACACACACACACTCTCTCTCACACACACACACTCTCTCGCTCTCACACACACACACTCTCTCGCTCTCTCTCACACACTCACACTCTCTCTTGCTCTCTCACACACACACACTCTCACACTCACACACTGAAACACACACACTCTCTCTCTCTCTCACACACACACACACACACACTCTCTCTCTCTCTCTAAGATCCGCTCGCTGCTGCAGTAATAACACAGTGTCAGTCAGTCTGCAGGTGAGTTCACGGTTACCTCAGCAGAGACATCAGGCTTGTTCGAGAGGAACTACACTAGCCTGCGGGGCGCAATGAACTAAATACAATATTGGTCAAATACACAGAAACGTTTTTGAGCAACAGAAACACTTCTTACATACTGCTTAATACAGCGCCATCTGTTCAAGAATAAAGTTCAGCATAAACAGGCTACTAAATACTGATAAAGTGTATGCTTTTATCAGTGTTCTTGATAAAAAAAAACACAATATAACAGTGTGACTACACTAAAAATGCTTTTACTGTTATAAAAACAGATTTGTGAGCATTATTGGAATAAGCACGCAACACACGTCATGCTTGTCATCCCAGAATCTGACCAATGAGAATAAAGTGTGTCGTCATCACGGCTCTCGCAGCTGATTTTGAGCGCTGGTCTCGTTTGGTCTCGCGGTACTTTGATTGTACCGAATTTAGCTGAAGCTAGCTTTCATCCGCAGTGCCTTAGCAGGTCATCATAATCACAGGTAGACATAAAAACATAAGACAACTAACACATACAATACATTAATACTTATATACAACCTGTAACAGTAAAAAATAACACCCAGTTAAAGCACGACCATGTCAGTGTTTACAGAGTTGAGTTGATTTTAAGTAAGATTTCAGTTTTAATTAAAAAATATCAATAGATGTGCACAACCTTATTACACGCTTAGTAAAGCCTTCCAATGAACTATAGGGGGCAAAACCATTTAAAATTCTGTAAACCATACACAAATTTGAGAAAAGACTAAAATGATCAAAACTCAAAAAGTCGTGTTTCTCCAAAACCCTACATAAATAGATGCACTATTACATTATATATATATATATAGTGTTGGAAATACAAACACGTAGCAGAGTGCTCTAGTGTAGATGTTGAAGAGGGTGGGGCTTAAACTGAACATCAAATTCAATATTCAAAATTCAATACGCAGAAATTCAGATCGTAGAGAGCGTAGGTCAGAGGTTATCCACAGGGAAGAGTAGATGATCTCCGAAAAGTCTAACGAAGCATTTACGGTGACGGAGCGGACATGTTCGGTGCACTTAGGCAAGTTTTATCGTGGCCACAACATATTAACTCGTGGAAACCTGATAATACGTCATGGCCAAGAGATCATTTTGTGGAGATAATCGTATGGAGATGATGACATCCAGGAATGCTTTCTCTCGTAGCGGAAGTGTTTTGTGCGCTCTGACATTACATAGTTACAAAGAACAAGGTCACATTTGATTTTACCTAAAATAAACATAACAGAAATTCAATATGTGTGTTATTTGCTATTTATCATTTCATAGGACTATGACTAGTGTAGTTTTCCTATCAGACACGGTTAACAATGACATTTTACACCTAGCCTAATTGTATTTGTACTCCTACACGCATGCTCTGGATCGCTATTTATTTATATCTCTGTAAAAGATCTTTGATGGATCATCCAATGGGAATCCCATTAGGTTACATGTTAAATGATCATCATGTTTACAACACGACATGAGCTCAGTGAAATGTTCCATTGGCTGTTAATAATCTGCCCGGTAACAGGTTAAAGGCGATAAAAAGATAAAACATGTTTTTATTTCTGGCGGCGCCTGCCACGAAGTGTAAGTTTGGATTTGAATACTTCAGTTTGAATAGAAGTTTAATAAACGAGTGCGATTTGACATTATACAGTGTTTTGCAAAAACCATTCAAAACCCCTACAGAGCACACGCATACATTACGAGAAGTCTAGACTAGTGTGCGTGCACATCAGAGTGTGTTCTTTCATGCAAGATTCAGTCTAATAAAATACACTTAGAACGATCACAAATTTAAGACATAGCAGAAAATGTATATATTTAGACCACTTCATATAGTTAATCAATTTCACACGAAGAGTGCTGTTTTTCTCCAAATATTACCATGATTACAAATGTGATATTGATTTTTTTACAACAGCTCAAAAAACAAGTTAATATTAAGAGACTTACAGCATGTTTTAGACGCCATATTGCCTGTTATTGCACTATTTCAACAACAAAAATAACTCCAAACACAGCCACAGCGCTGTTCTGTGTCTCTGAGCAACATGACGGTGATTCATTCCTGAATGAATCAACCGTTTAAATGATTCGGTTCAGTCACAGTGACTCACGTATTAACAGTGACTTGCTGCCACCTACTGGCAGCTTTAATTTCACATTTCTACTTTTTTTCATATTTTAAATAATTTCAAATATCAGCATTCAACGTTTTAGGTTTAATATATGAAAACAGTATTTCTGCATTTGTAACTGCAGCTTAAATGCATCCATGTCCTGCATTAAACAGTGTAAACACACCTAAATGCCTCTTCAGGTGCAGCTTCTGTGTTGATTTTATTTGCTTGGTAACAGACTGCGGTGCGGGTTAATCAGACAGGACCAGGACTCTGACACCACTTCTTATGTGGAGGGAACAACAGTTTTCCCCCGTGGCCACGAGTTTAATGCGTAAACAACCCGCGCGATCATATAACCCGATTATCAGAGATGGATGAAACATTTTTGTGCATCCCACAGTCTTGTAAATCAAGTCATCTACTCTTCCCTGTGGATAACCTCTGACCTACGCTCTCTACGATCTGAATTTCTGCGTATTGAATTTTGAATATTGAATTTGATGTTCCAGATTTCTTCTTCATCTTGAAAACTTCAAGCTGTATTTTAAAAAACTGGATATTTGCAGTCTAACACTTCAGAACAAAAAATCCGCTGTTTGAAAATACATGTCTATATAAATTATATTCAAGTAAAAAAAATCTAATTCAGAACCATGTTATATGCCACATAAAATTCAGTTTGTTAAATGACACTCGTCAATAATTCAAATTCAAATAGTTCTGACATATTATGAGCTTCATAAAAGTACGTCTGTGAAATACAAAATGTTGCGTAATGTGGGACTTTTAATTATAAACCAGTGTTATTTTAGCATCACTGAGATGCTACTAGTTTTTATTAATATTTTGAATTAGTTTTTATTTTAATATTTTCTGCTATCAAGTTAAAGTTGTAATTTGTTACATATATCTATATAGGTTTTCTTAATTTTTATTTCAGTTTTAGGCATTTTAGTACAAGCTAGAATTAAAACGAGAAATATAAAGCTGTTTATATTTAATTTCAGGTAATGCTTTTTTTTTGGGTTCTTGCTTTAGTTACAAGCCTGAAAACCACAGAGACTCTTATTTTGAAAAGTGCTGAGGCTTTGAGAACATAAAGAGCTTTCATTTTTCTATGAATTATTAAACATTTCTGAAGACAAAAAAATTGGCTTTCAAAATAAGTTTCAGCTGATTCCAATAATTAGGAAGTGCCACATATGGGCCTATATATTAATTGTTTTATATACTTTTATTATTATTAATAATAATTATTAATGCTTGAAACACACAGAGACTCTTATTTTGAAAGGTCTGAGCTTTTCTACTTCAGCTGCTCATTCAAACATATTACAATATAAACACCATAACATAACATACATTGTTATAATTCATCAACAGTAGATCATAAACGCTCTGAAACCGTGAGCCTGCAGAACTCAAAACAACGGCACATTTGAGCTTTAATAAAAACTTGGGTCCTCTCAAAATTAAGCCATTTCATTTTTTTAGGACCCACAGAAACTTTAGTGGTCGACCACTGGAGCTTTTTTGCTGGCTGATGTCACCATTTAATTTCACACGGTTTCATTTATATATGTGTCCCTGCAGCACAGAAGCAGTGTTAAGTCGCTGGGGGATATTTGTAGCAATAGCCAACAATACATTGTATGGGTCACAATTATACATTTCTCTTTTATGCCAAAAATCATTAGGATATTAAGTAAAGATCATGTTCCATGAAGATATTTTGTAAATGTCCTACCGTAAATATATTAAAACTTAATGTATGATTAGTAATATGCATTGCTAAGAACTTCATCTGAACAACTTTAAAGATGATTTTCTCAATATTTAGATTTTTTTGCACCCTCAGATTCCAGATTTTCAAATATTGTCCGATCCTAACAAACCATACATCAATGGAGAGCTAATTTATTCCGCTTCCAGATGATGCATACATCTCAATTTCTAAAAATGGACCGTTATGACTGGTTTTGTGCTCCAGGGTCACATACACATAAATAACAGAGTTAGTTTTACTATTGTTAGTCAAACCTGAATATGCAGAATGGGCTTTCAAAATAAAAGTCCCACATGTTCAGCCAATAAATACACAGGTTGATTGGATCGGTCTCTAATTTTAAACGCTAGTGCTAGCGCGAGCTACGCACCTGCTTCATCTTGAAGAGCTCGCGGCGAGTGTGTTCGTCGTGGCGCAGGTCCTTCTTGTTGCCCACCAGGATTATGGGAACGTTGGGGCAGAAGTGCTTGACCTCCGGAGTCCATTTCTCGGGAATGTTCTCTGCGGGTCAGAGGGGTCAGAGGTCAGCGGGCGCGGGGCTAGCGTGAGCGCGGCTAGCGCGAGACTCACCCAGGCTGTCGGGGCTGTCGATGGAGAAGCACATGAGGATGACGTCGGTGTCGGGGTAAGAGAGCGGCCGCAGACGGTCGTAGTCCTCCTGACCCGCCGTGTCCCACAGCGCTAGCTCCACCTGAAACTCCACACGCTAGCATTAGCACAGTGTTAGCACAGCTCGCGGCCGCACGAACCGCTCGCTCCTCACCTGCTTGCTGTCCACCTCGATGTCGGCCACGTAGTTCTCGAAGACGGTGGGCACGTAGACCTCGGGGAACTGGTCTTTGCTGAAGACGATGAGCAGGCAGGTCTTCCCGCACGCGCCGTCGCCCACGATCACCAGCTTCTTACGGATCGCCGCCATTCCTGCGCGGAGAGAGTCTCGCAGCGTTACTCGCCCGGCCAGACCAGAGAACGACTCGACTCCAACGCCTCCAGAGTATATTTCATCACAAAATCACAATCGGGAAATCAATTGACATTTCATTTATATTGATGTACATTAGTGCTGCAAAATGATTAATCGCGATTAATCGCATTCAAAATAAAAGTTCATGTTTACATAATATATGTGCGTATACTGTGTATATTTATTATGTATATATAAATACACACCCATACATGTATACATTTCAGAAAAATATTTTCTGTGAATACGTTTGCTATGACATCTACAGCAAAATTGCACAATTCTCAATATCACAGCAGTATTAGTAAAAAACAAACAAACAAACTCCTCAAAATGATTTGAAAATAATTAACATGTCAGTAATAAAAAAATGCAAAGGACAAATACAATATTAAAAAAGACAAATGAAAAACTGTGCTTGAAGGTTTTTTTTTTAAAGGGCTCTTATTATGCAAAATCCACTTTTACATGGTGTTTGGACATAAGTGTGTGTTAGCAGTGTGTGAACATCCACACTACAATGATAAAAATCATGTTTTAATCCCCTTTAAACCAAGTCAGTCTCACTAGACCTGCTGTTCTGATTCTCACGCAGTGTGACATCACATTGCTTAGGCCCCGCCCACAGCGGCTGATTGACAGCCCTGCATTGCTATAGTTCCGCCTTCAGCGGTTACGCGGTCCTTCATGTTCTGCGCGCTCGAGCAGCTGTCTCGCAAGCAATCCCGATGCTCTGTGTCTGTTTGTGAGATTAGATCCGTGCCGATGACACAAATCAAATGTAAAATAAAGCAGCATAGTCTTGACTGTAAGAATTACACTTCCTTTGTTTCTTATTAAAGCTAAAAAAGTCCTTCAGTCGAGAGCAGTGAGTGATTTAGTCTTTGTCTTTTGTTGTTTGATTAATATTAAGCACACAGTCAGCAGCAGGAATATTAGGCTGCTGTCACTTTAAGAGCTGCATGGATATAATTTACTGTTACACTAGTATCTTCATTCTCAACTCCTTACGTTCATTTATTACATAACCGATGAGGGTTTACGTGAATAATCACTAAGCGCCGCATTCTCACATGTTTAAGGTGCAGTATTTGACCGTTTAGGTGCTAAAAGATGACTTTACGTGTCCGTCTCTGAGCGCATTAAAATAAAAAGTTTTAGCGCTTTTAAGCACATTATTGTACCGATCTCCTTGCTACGTCTCTGTGTCTGGGAACATTTCAGTTGCCTTGCTGTCTATGGGAGGCTCAGAGAGCTCTCAGATTCCGTCAGAAATATCTTAATCTGTGTCCTGAAGACGAACGGAGGACTTACGGTGAACGGCACGAGGGCGAGTGATTACTGACAATTTACATTTTTGGCTGAACTATCCCTTTAATCTGAATCAAATAAATAACGGTTTGTTTTACTATTATTAGACGATATGGAGAATGGGCTTTCAAAATAAAAGTATGCGTTATATTTTTATATACAGAATAAAGCATAGATTAGAATATTAATATTTTTTCATCTTGACATTTTTATGACAATAAAGTACATTTCCCAATCAAACATCCAAAAACAATGAATTAAAAAGTATAGTGCTTCATTTTCGTTTGCAAAGTTTAGAATATTCCTGAGATTCCCCCAAACACCACTCACACCTGAAACACTCAACTACTGCCACCATGCACAACTTCCTTCAGTGTTTTAATTGTAATATTAAATGCCCTTTATTTGTTTAATTTTCAACAATGTAACTACACAACACAGACTGTCTGAGCAAAAAAAGGCTATTGTAAGAATAAATGAAAGTTGCTTTTATGCTTTCAAATAATTAGACATGCTAAAACTGAATTTGGTAACAATAAAACATAAGGTTGGAAAAAAATAAAACATTTCATGGGGCCCCAATCATGTAATATTTGTTAAACTTTTAATAAAGTGATGTTAAATTGTTTAAGTGTCATGATTTTAATAAATTAGACATGTTTTTTTATTCACATAATTGAATTAAACCATTGCACACTGTTACTGGGTTGGGTATTATAAACTTTACTTTTAGAGGCTTGCAATGAAGTGACCTGCTGCTCTTGTGTTTTCATGACCCCCAAAAAGGCTTTAAAAATACATTAAAACTACTGTCACAGAGCTGAAATGAGTAATAAAGAGTGTCTCGAGTTCAAGCAGAGTTTCCTGTGAGCGCACTTCAGCTCTTCTCGCGCGTGGTAGGTTTACATGTTTACAGTGAAATGGATGAATATCATGACACTCAGAGCTTTATTTCTTTTGTACACAAACACGCTCTTGCCTTTAAAAGCCGGAATATAGTTTTATGTCGCAAGCCGTCGATGCGAAGCTAACGGGCTACACCGGCGGAAGCGAGCGTCTCCTCAGCAAGACATTAAACCCCCAAACACCAAACTCTGTCGCTCGAGAGAAGTTAATAACAGCCGCTGATCTTTTAGCAGAAGCGCAATGAAGAGAAAACCGCATTAAATTCGCTCACCTTCAGTTCAACTCGGCTCGACTCGAGTTTTCCGGGTCGCTTCCGGAAGCCAGACACAACCAGCCAGGATGGCGACTGAACAACAACCCGTCAAAATAAGAGTCCGCATCAGAGGCCTCAAAATAAGAGTCCTCATCAGAGGCCTCAAAATAAGAGTCCTCATCAGAAGCCTCAAAATAAGAGTCCTCATCAGAAAGCGTCACAATAAGAGTCCTCATCAGATGCGTCAAAATAAGAGTCCTCATCAGAGGCCTCAAAATAAGAGTCCTCATCAGAAGCCTCAAAATAAGAGTCCTCGTCAGAAGACTCAAAATAAGAGTCCTCATCAGAGGCCTCAAAATAAGAGTCCTCATCAGAAGCCTCAAAATAAGAGTCCTCATCAGAAAGCGTCAAAATAAGAGTCCTCATCAGAAGCCTCAAAATAAGAGTCCTCGTCAGAAGCCTCAAAATAAGAGTAGTCCGCATCAGAGGCCTCAAAATAAGAGTCCTCATCAGAGGCCTCAAAATAAGAGTCCTCGTCAGAAGCCTCAAAATAAGAGTCCTCATCAGAAAGCGTCACAATAAGAGTCCTCGTCAGAAAGTGTCAAAATAAGAGTCCTCGTCAGACGCCTCAAAATAAGAGTCCTC